GAGCCTACGGGCTCGGGAAACCCACGTTAAACTCGGCCTTGTGCCACATGCAACCCTCGTGGGGAGGTGGCTAGATACCGAATCGAGTCGAGCCGATAGCAGTTCACTCCAAACCAGACTGACAGTCATACTAACACCTTCTACATCTTGTATTATTATTTCGTGTAATATTCCTTCGTTATTTCTACTTTTGTGCTCGTGTTGTTCTTCCTTGGTCCTAACCTGGACCATAAGAGTTATTTCTTTCAGCAGTACGACAATATTTTTCATAATTGTAACACTATAATCATTTTTGCACTGGAGTTTGTAAACATCCCAGGAGACAATCCATTTTCGAAAATGCGAGGTGACTAACGCAGAGTGAATAGGAAGAATTTCAATTCTCTGGAAGTCTGTAAAAAACGCTAAAATCAGTTTATCAACCAGAAAGAAACCAAGTTTTGGGAAGGATGGGCTCGTGAAATCCAGTGGAACAAAAGAGCACATTTATGTTTTAATGAATCTATGTGCAAAATAAATTATTGTCTTTGAAATTCAACGAGAAAACGCCACGAGCATAGTTCCGTCCCACCATCTTTTTTATATTTATCCTTTTACCTATTCGTATATTTGGTTTGTAAATATACAAATCAACCCTCGTCAGATCTTTCCACCGACTGGTCAATTTTCAGCCCCGTTTCATTTCAATTTTCAATCTCGTCGCTGCTCACCGAAAACTAGGAAAGGGCGCGATGTATGCTCACAACGTAACACGATGGAAGGAAAAAAAAAAAGTCAGTTCGAGAAATAAGAAAGCAAACCCTGTTTTCCATATTATCTATAGCTGTTTCAGTCAGGTACTCAACTGCTTTTCCGGGTGGAAATGTGGGTGATACTTGGGACAAGTTGTGTTATGTCAGTGCTTCCCCGCTACTAACTCCTCGCACATTCAATCATCCTGACGCGATGGCTGGCAATACGGAACGAAGGCCTTGGAAATGCGATGCGGACCCGTCCGACTCACGCCGAAGGCGGACCAGAACTCGCACTGAACGCAAACATCACTGTTAATGTAGGCCAGCACTCGGATATAACCTATTTCCGTCTTTTTCTTTTTGCTGCTTGAGCTCCGAAAATCGCTTTATTTCGAATTTGCCTTCGGTTAAAATGGATGCCGCTTAGATGACCACACTTCAAACGCAATCACCCGCTGGTCTATCAAACCCAACCACTTGAGAAAGATAAAACCCACTTCTTCCCCATTCTTGAGAGGGCTATTTTTGCATGAAATAATTACTTTCTCATGCTAATTTCAAGTTTAGCAAGCTTTTCACAATGGGAATATCGTCAGGTTCTAAACAAATATATCTACATTTCAAATTCGATGTAATCCTTTTAAGCAATTTTCATACGAACACTGAAACAGGAAATTGACTTATGCATTCCAACAATATGAGTAACTTTTTTCAATCGCTTGAACTTTTTTCTTGATAATTTTGTTTACCATTAGCTTCCAAATATCTGATTTTGCTGCAATCGAAATATTTCAAGTTGTTTTCTGTATCGTATGACGAATGTTAGTGGTTTCTTGTTAACTTTTCTTATTTATCTGTCGTCATTTTGTTGCATATATTCCGTCTATTTCCAATTTTCTCTTTCTTGATTATTATGTAGCAATCCCACAATACTGACAGAATTCAACGGTATCCAAAAAGAAATTGAGAAACTCCTCAAAATATCTTGAGCAGAAAATCAGTTTCGTCTTTCATTGGTGTTTTTTCCCCTTTTCTGTCAGTCAAAATGTAAAAAAAAAACAAGGCAAATATAAGAAATTACAATTGAAGTTTGCTGTTTTCGGAAGTTTCCTTCGGACACAAACGAAAACAAGTCCATTGATCTGCTAACATCAGCCATTACTACCGTGTCAAAAATAAAAAAATACAAAAAAAATACAAAGATGTCACAAATAATTAAAGTAAATTTGCCATCGGCGATCACGTTTTCATGTTCTGGTCACCCAAAAGTTTTTTCTTTATCTCATATAATTCTTTTATATCTTCTTTTACTCCACTTCTTTTTTTCAACTAATGTATTCTTTTTTCTTCTTTCTTTATACTTTTCTTTTCTTTCTTTACTACCAATACTTCCACCTCTTCTCGCTTATTTTCTTGTATCTTTCCATCCGGCTTCCTCTTTCGCCATTGCTCAATCTTTATTTTTAATTTCCATCTCTTTTAGGCTCTTACTTTCTCTTTGACGTTGCCTCCATTATAACGTATATTCTCTTTTCGAAAATTGTAACAATCAGCCGACACTTGAAGATCAATGGTAAACGTTTCCGATGTTTGTCAATTAACTATTTCATGTCAGAAGAGTGATCTTTTTATTGTCGTCGAGGTTTGTATTTGTAAGTGGCATATTCTTAAATTCAGTCGGATATGATTCTTTGTTGCTTACAGCCATATCATGTCGAAACACCGTTTCTCGTCCAATCAAAGTCAAGCAACGTTAGTCCTCAGATGTTTCACCGCTGAGGAATGCCAGACACTGTAAGCTACATGGCAGGCCTAGCTAGATTGTGATAGCTACAATCTTCCTAGTTATGCTAAAAGACCACGATGGGTACTTCTGGATTGACAGTTCGTAAGATCTGCCTGGAATTGGGCGAGTGACAGTGTAAGTTTTTTTTTATTAGTTTCTCTTAGCGAAAAGGAAGCATGTATTTGGGATTTGAGTGATAGGAAAAAATAACTGTAATAATCAGCTACCTGTTTTAGCAATAAACGCTATGACCCCAAATAGTCTATCATCTACCCGGCGACCAATCTGATTAGGAATATGTTTAAAACCAATTTCAACACCCCACAATTTCTAGGACGAAGTATTGTTGCTATTTATCGATTACATTCGACTAGAATTTCCATCTTTTTTTTTCAAATTTTATTGCAAATTCAGTCGAAACGAACTAAGAAATAGCGACAAGGTGTTTGATCCGAAAGTTTTAGTAAAGAGATTTATGCATTTCCTAAAAAAAAAAGATGTTATTCTAAATTTTGCTCGGCTAAGTGTATTCATTCTCTTGATATTATTGAACTTTATGCGGATTTATCATTGGCTCGTTTACGTCCTTAAAAAAGAAAAAACCCACTTTTCACATAACGTTTTCTTTGTCTTGATCTTTAAAGAATTACGTCAATAACTAATTAAATAAAGAAAAGTAAAGAAAAGAAAAGAAAAAAAGAAGAAAATATATTTATTGTGTAGCAAATTGTGTTTTTCTTTTTTCTTACGGATAAGATCCATAAGGAAGGCTGAAAATGCGTTGGTCGAAATATGTAGCAGTACATCAAAAAAAAGCATGTTAATAAGCAGTGGAGGTCAAATGTCTTGGGTGGAAATATTTAAAAGAAGTGTCTGTCATTAATATTATATATATATATATATATATATATATATATATATATATATATATATAATAATTTTTTTATAAAAAATTATAACATATGTATGTTATAAAATCACTACAAAAATAGCCATTTTGTTTCAACACACTCTGTGTCTTATCAAGTGATGATGTTGAAAAGAAAATAAATGGTTTTAAAAGTTTCAGATTAATCAACGATCCTACACTAGGGGGAAACATTGTTACAAAAGCTAGAATAACCAATCAAAAACGAAGTATAGAAAGATTCAAAAGTTTGACAACGAAATCATGCTATAATAGCTTTTCAGATCTTTAAATACGTTTAATATTAAAAATAATTTATACAAACTAATAATTATAAAATTATATGATAAAATTTAATATTAAAATTAAAGACTGGCAATTTTAAAATCCAAATTTAATCACTATTAAGTTTAAAAACTAGAAAATTATTGAGAAAAGAAAAAAAATATATATGTATATTCAATTCATTTCTTCATTGAAATTACGTTCGACATGGCTACTTATGATGATTCTTCTTCTTCAAAAATAGCATTGTTTATCGTCATTGCATCTAGCATGAAACAGACTGTCGACTCTAAGTGTTGACTTCTATGTTCATTTTTATATTCATCTAGCATGTGTGCATGTTTGTGTGTGTATGCGTGTGTGTATAAGTCTACATTCCCAAACCTGTGTAGACAGATTTCATTAGTGTGTAAACACGTTGCTGTCTAAGGGAAGGAAAACCTAGATAGAAAATAAAGAAGTTAGGGATGAGACCAATCACCCTACCCTGTGAGGGCCTTGAATGCCACAGGCATATAGCGTGTGTGTTGTTTTTAAAAATCGACAGGGAATAGAATTTCATTGCAATATAAACAATGCTATTTTTGAAGAAGAAGAATCATCATAAGTAGCCATGATAAAAGACTATTCGGAAATTACTTCTTTTATTCTTTGGTGAAGACAATTCGAATTCCGAACCAAAATGAATTTTAATAGTTTTCAATTGTTCTCTTCTCTACTGCGAAGATATTGGGACTAAAAAGTCATTGCAGTTGACTTGCTTGTTCATACATTCTAAGTTGATTGTTTCAGGAGGAAATATTTAAATATCTGAAACTAAAATTTGATATTCACTTGAATTTTAGTTTCACTCATTGTCTGCTTGCATTGTCGGTCTAAAGAACGACGTACTTTCAATTGATCGAGTGTAGCGAAAATATTAATTCTTGGTTATGTTAGGTCATTCAACGTGTACTGTTAGTACCATGTAATCCAGTATTACCTGCCGCATAATCGGGCCAACGACGACTAGACCGGTTTCCCCCACCAGGCTGTTCTCGTGGGGTAGGTGTCTAGAAACACACGAGGATTAAAGACAATACCTGTGAAACTTCGTGTAGAATTAACGGCTACAATGGACGCCATCGCTATGTATGCAATTACTGAGCGGAGGAACTCCTAGACGGAAGTCAACGGCCAAGTCTTTGTGACCAATGCGAGACTTTAAGGTGTAGAATATCGATTGTGATTTGACCAGGGGAAGGATGGACTCCGCCAAATAGATAGATAGATAGATCATGAGCAGAACGAAGTAGATAGATAGATAGATAGATAGATAGATAGATAGATAGATAGATAGATAGATAGATTAGTAGCTAGGTAGATAGATAGACTGGTAAGTATATATATATATACTTAATATATATATATATAAATATAAATATAGATAGGTAGGTAGGTAGGAACAAAGATAGATAGATAGATAGATAGATAGATAGATACTGATGTTCGCTGTGGGTTAAGCTGGAGAGGGATGGATTCCCCCAGGTCTATTTTGTCAAAGACACGCTACGTTCGAATGAATATCTCTTCAGCCTTGATATGTGGAATGAACTGGTAAGGTGCTCAGTTGCACAGTGATCCTACGACCACACTCATGGGGCTGATTATGGCGTATTTTTCTTATCAGTTAACAGTTATTCTTTTAAATCTATCCAAAGATTAATGCAAATGTTAATCAGCTATATAAAGACCGAATAGGATCAAGAGGTGTGGGGATAGATAGATAGATAGATAGATAGATAGATAGATAGATAGATAGATAGATAAACAAAATGAGATAGATAGATAGATAAACAGAATGAGATAGATAAACAGAATGAGATAGATAGATAGATAGATAGATAAACAGAATGAGATAGATAGATAGATAGATAAACAGAATGAGATAGATAGATAGATAGATAGATAGATAGATAGATAGATAGATAGATAGATAGATAGATAGATGCGAAAAGGAAGAGAAAGAAAGATGAAGATATGAAGAAAGGATACGATGGTCGATAAATATTACAGAGATAGATAATAAAGACAGTATGATAGATAGATAGATAGATAGATAGATAGATAGATAGATAAGCGGATGCGATAGATAGCTTGATAGATAAGTAATAAAGACAATGAGATAAAAAATAGATATATAGATAGATAAAAAAGATGAGATTGATAGATAGATGCGGAAAGTAATGAAAGTCAGAAAGACGAATATGTGAAGAATGGATTTAGTAGGCAAAAAATGTTATATAGAACAGTCATAGAAAGAAAGAAAGAAAGAAAGAAAGAAAGAAAGAAAGAAAGAAAGAAATATTAACAAGGTAGACATGGATGTACATAGGGGGATAGAAGGGACTTAGATAGATAGATAGATAGATAGAACAGTCATAGAAAGAAAGAAAGAAAGAAAGAAAGAAAGAAAGAAAGAAAGAAAGAAAGATTAACAAGGTAGGCATGGATGTACATAGCGGGATAGAAGGGACATAGATAGATAGATAGATAGATAGATAGATAGATAGATAGATAGATAGATAGATAGAACAGTCATAGAAAGAAAGAAAGAAAGAAAGAAATATTAACAAGGTAGGCATGGATGTACATAGCGGGATAGAAGGGACATAGATAGATAGATAGATAGATAGATAGATAGATAGAACAGTCATAGAAAGAAAGAAAGAAAGAAAGAAAGAAAGAAAGAAAGAAAGAAATAAAGAAAGAAAGAAATATTAACAAGGTAGGCATGGATGTACATAGCGGGATAGAAGGGACATAGATAGATAGATAGATAGATAGATAGATAGATAGATAGATAGATAGATAGATAGAACAGTCATAGAAAGAAAGAAAGAAAGAAAGAAAGAAAGAAAGAAAGAAATATTAACAAGGTAGGCATGGATGTACATAGCGGGATAGAAGGGTCATAGATAGATAGATAGATAGATAGATAGATAGATAGATAGATAGATAGATAGAACAGTCATAGAAAGAAAGAAAGAAAGAAAGAAAGAAAGAAAGAAAGAAAGAAAGAAAGAAATATTAACAAGGTAGACATGGATGTACATAGGGGGATAGAAGGGACATATATAGATAGATAGATAGATAGATAGATAGATAGATAGATGTACCTCCGCTGGGGGTTAAGCTGGAAAGGGATGGATTCCTTCAAGTTTACTTTGCCCCAAAACACGTTACGTATGAATGAATACCTCTCCATCTTTCAACCCAGATATGCAGAATGAACCGGCCAGTTCCTCAGCTACGCAGCGACTGTACAATCACAAACGGTCATGGGACTAATGATTCATTCTTTACTCATTTTTCTATATGCCTGGTGCCTGTGGCATTCAAGGCCCTCACAAGGTACGGTGATTGGTCTCATCCCTAACTTCTTTATTTTCTATCTAGGTTTTCCTTCCTTTAGACAGCAACGTGTTTACACGCTAATGAAATCTGTCTACACAGGTTTGGGAATGTAGACTTATCTTTCTTTTATATTGGTCACTAACAAAAATCAACCCTACTATATAACCCATATTTGGGGGACAAGAGATATATTTATACCATTCGCAAAGGTATTTGCACGAAAGTGAGTGCAATAAACTTGAGTGGACTTCAAATTATGCTCAGCTATTTCTCATCCAGAGTCGCTATTACACCAGCCGCATATCTTTGCTTATGACTGACGATAAATATTCACTATGATTGTCTTGCTTTATTTTAGGAATTCGTAGTGGATATACTGAAATCCGAAGGCGCATTGGGATAACCAAAGATGCCTTCTAAAAGCTAAGCAGAGTATTAAGAGATAAAGAAAACCGCGTTAGAAACAAAGAAAAGAGTACTGAAGTGTTACATGATATCTGTCCTACTGTATGACAGTGAATGTTGGACAATTTTCTCAAAGATGAAGAAGAGATTTGAAGCAACAGAAATATGACTCTACAGAAAGACGCTGAGGATACCATTGACCGAACATGAAACGACGAAGTTTTAGAGAAAATAAAAGCAAATATGAAACTTATACTTAACATAAAGAAGATGCAGTAGAAATTTCTCGAGCACATAATGAGGAAGGAGGCCTGGAAAATTTGTTACACACAAGATGGATTGAGAACAAGACGAAAACAACGCTTAATATAGTTGACGTGCTTGAGTAAAAGGATAGCGGAACAAGGTTTAGTAATAACGAAAACAGAATTTATTTAGAGCTTCGAGGGACAAGAAAATGTGGAGAGCCATGATCATCTACATCCCGAAGGAACGCGGCAAATAAAGAGAGTAAATGGATTGAATCTATGATAATCTTCAGACTACTCACCCAGACTTTACTTTGTTTTATTTATTGATATGGATTGAACACCTTGCATGAAAAGAAACGATTCTTTCAGTAAGGAGTAAAAGACTTAATTTCGCATCAGTCGATTGTCATTGCTAATATAGAAGATTAATGGAGTGGTCAAATATAACGAAATTTGTGTCTCTTTCAAACAACGAAGTTATTTTTCTGCTTCAAAAATGCGACATTACTTACGTAGCACACACACACACACACACACACACACACACACACACACACACACACACACACACACACACACACACACACACAAAATACAAACATCTTTGAGTTTCTGGAAGAATGGCCTAAATACCCTTATTCCAAATACACCTTTTATTAAGGATTGAAATAAAACACATCGTCTGAGAATGATTTCTGATTAATTTAAAGGTCGTGAATACTTGAATAAGGAACTCCTGGGTGAATTTTTCTCCATAAAAAGAGTAAGAATACCTCCGCTCGTCTATATGGATCTCAAAAGTATACCCTCCTATCCCATATATATATATATATATATATATATATATATATATATATATATATATATAATGGACTCTCCCGTCGGTTTCGAGGTATAAGGATCTGACAGCATATTGATTCAGTTATGAAAGTTTGTGCGATAATCTTAAGTGGCATTTAAGACCCGCTAGTGATTTACAAAGGAGGCCACATATGGAGCAAGTGTGAGGATTGCGAGATGAGATCATTGTTAGATTGGCTGACCTTTTAGATCTTGCTCTCGCTTCTTGAAGATGATTCAGACAAGCAGATTGAAAATTGCTGAGTCCACTAAAACACGTTGATCTGCATTCTATCCGCTCCAAAGCTAAGCGCCCAAGGGTGTTATGTGGTATATTGACTGCTGACAAGTTGCTTTTCAGTTTGTCTTTGTATCTTAGCCATGGGCGTCCTACATTCCTGTAGCCCTGATCTAACTGGCTGTACATTAGGATCTTATATATATATATATATATATATATATATATATATAGAGAGAGAGAGAGAGAGAGAGAGAGGCGGGGTCTGAAACAGTATATCTTCATTCAAACATGCTTAATTGAATAAGATAGACATATTCGTTTCTACGTATTTTTATTCTAATTCTTTCCAGTTGTGCAATCAGTTTCTTGATATTAAGATGAAATTCATCAAGGAAGGTGCCGTAGTTTTTATTAACCGAATTACTTTCGATCTTTTCCAAGGTCATCTTCAGAGGTAAATTACATAGACAAACTATAACTGTGATAAGCTCCGTATTCCGTTGTAATTGTGCTTTTTTTTTTAAATTCGCGAACGCGCTCTGTGATTATTTTAAAGTTTAAAATTTGTCCGTTGTCGTTATGCAAGTTTTCTTTGCAAAAAACAATTTTTTCAATATAAGAGAGCTGCGCGGAAATTGGTGTAAATGTAAAATGACATTGAATGTTGTATGTCATTAACATAAAGAAACTGATTGGATGACTAGTAAGGATTAGTATATAAATAAGTAGACACAATATGTCTATATTATGCAATTAATTATATATATATATATATATATATATATATATTGATATGTCCCGGAAAGAGATATATTTGTTCGAAGTGGTTTTGGACTACTGTAACCAGGTAGGACAATTCTAGCAGGTAACCGTAATGGACTGGTCCTCGTCGTAGTGGTAGGCAATAGGCGTAGGCAATAGGTGAAGACAATAGGCGTAGCCAATAGGCGTAGACCATGTACCTCCACATCAGTCTGTATTTATGGCTGACACTAGCCAGTCATATTACTGTGAGGGGGAACCAGGTGTATGATAATTCATTACATCATATATTAGTGGACTTCAATCTTTTCAATCTGCTTGTCAGAATCATCTTCAAGAAGCGAGAGCAAAATCTAAAAGGTTAGCCAGTCTAACAGTGATCTCATCTCACAATTCTCACGCCTGCTCCATATGTGGCCTCCTTTGTAAATCACTAGCGGGCCTTAAATGCCATTTAAGATTATCATATAAACTTTCATGACTGAATCAATAAGCTGTCAGATCCTCATACGTCGAAACCGACGGGGAGAGTCCATTTTATATATATAGAATTGCATAATGAATTGGATCCTAATTACGATTCCAATGCAATAAATTATAATCATGGAATATTAGTGTTTAAGCCTTTTTATTATATATATATATATATATATATATATATATATAATGGATAACAATGAGTTCACAAAAAGCATGAAAAATATCCTAGTTTAGAGATTTGGCAATATTTCCTACCAATATTTTACATACACATGTTAATGGGAAAAAAAAGAAGGAACGAAGTTACAAGACACTCAGTTTTGCTCGACGTTGGAAGACATAGATGTTCCTGAAACTGAAGTGAAATTGATTATTACCCTCAGGGAAGATGATATCTAGCAAAATGAGACATCTCTGGACAGAAGTCAATATTTAAAGAACGATGAGTACTAAAAAGAAAAGATACAGATATAAAACCCGGTTGAGAGATAACATCAGTGCTTACAAGGGTCTTTTAAAAGAAAAGGAAGCCCTTGAAGCTAGTTTATAATGCTTGACCAATTCAAAACTAGCGAACAAAACGCTCAGCTCAGCTCAGCATCCATGGACAATGGAGACAAAGATAATGATCAGGAGATGTCAGACAAAAAGAAATCAGGGTTCTCTGATCCATTGCGGGTTAATTCTGGGATGACTGTACTGAGAGAGAAGATGGAGTGAACATAATCACACGATCACTGACCACACCGAACAACAAGAAATCCAGGCTAGAAAGTAATTATTTCGTAGAAAAAAGCTGTGATACAACGAAACAGTCCTCTGTGGATGACTATATATATATATATATATATATATATATATATATATATATATATATATATATATATAAATTAGTCCCAAATATAGGACGAAACGGCCGTCCAGTGCTTTCTGCATTCTGTTGAGGTTTCTTTCAGACTCGATGAATTACTTAAATATAATTATCAAATCCTCCTAATAATTTCTATCTGTGTATATCATTGCTTGAACCGGCTTCTAATGCTCTAGAGTGAGCGGCTGGGTGATAGTAGTCGTGGCTCCAGGGGGCACAGTCCTATGTTTAGAGAGAAACTCAGCAGAGTTCCACCACGGAATATGTGAGCGAGCGGCGCTATATTGCGACTGATTTCGTCACCGGTTGAACAGTTGGTATGATGTTTGCTTGACAACCTAACTGCTAGGGTTTCAATTCTCGGTCGTGGATGCGCAATGCTGATGAGTCCCAAATATAGAACGAAACGGCCGTCCAGTGCATTCTGTTGAGGTTTCTTTCAGACTCAAT